TAAATTTAGCAAAGATACTGACAAGAGTAGTAAATATCACGGAGAGTGTGTTACGCTTCCATTTATGCGGCGAACGGCTATGGAGTGGAATTCCCTGCCTGCAGACTTATTCCCTGAACGTTATAATTTGGATCTTTTCAAGGCGAGAGTCAATAGGCATTATTTATGTGTGTATGCTCCATCGTCGACCTCATCGTCACTTTCGATCATGTGCCCTTTTTTAAATGATTTAATACCATTGTTTAGATTTGCCTTATTAATTACCATTATATGCAAAACCAATATTTGACAATCCTCTATCAACTCGTGTTGTCAGCACAACTTGATTGATGAGGCTTACCATGCACCGACTCACATCAGACTCACACCTTCTGTATAGTACGCGTTATACAATATCTCTCTTCATCTCATTATCATCTACAGCCCCAGGCTCATCTGTCTACGGTGACTTTGACGATGTCTCAAGTTTCTACGTCCACTTCTTCCACCATTTACTTTACTCCAACTCGCAACATGACCTGCCAAACTCAATTTTAGTACCCAGTCTATACGTTTGATGTTGAGCATGGTGTCTTGTGGATTATAATTTGTTTGATTGCATCATGGATAGCACAAAGAAATGTATCTGGAACAAACATGGAACTTTCCAAAGTGTTGCAATTTTATTATTATAATTTTTTTTATAATTTCAAGTGACAGAGCGAGCAAGTCGTGCGCCAGGTAATTTTTAAATATACGTTGACAGTCTTTTACTACTCTATTGTTAAAAAGAAATATATTATCTCGACTCAACCGAGGAACAGAGTCCGGTGTGATTATACGACGAAAAGAGGATAAATACGTAACCTCGTTATTCAAAATTTATCTTTATCTTTATCTTTATCAAAATAAGACCTAGCTGTAGGTGTTCTCAGAATTTTATGTATTATTTCGTTTCGGAAATATAAAATCGAACAACCGTCGATTTGATATCCACAGTTAAGAACAACGCACAAAATGTACGATGTCCTGAGAATAAGCAATCTTGCACATAGGTCTTTGTTCTACGGATGAGTCGATCTTTTCTTACAACATTACTAAATATTATATTCTGTTAGAAGTTGTAGGTGGCAGACGAATGATAGAACATTTATTTTACTATTTATCCTCTGTCTCTGACAAGAATTCTTCTATTGACTTTTAGACGCCAGTAATAAGTTTAATTTGTTTTTAAATATTGAATATTTATGGTCATATTTTTGGAAAACTGTTGATAATACGTCTTCCCCGTAAGCTTACGATTAAATTGTCTTGTTTATCTTTAGTTAATCGGCTTAATACAATTTTCGTATTAATATTTTACTTAACTATAACTAGTTATTATTAATATTCTTCGCTAACCCAACTACAAACAAATTTTGTTTTACGACTACGTCAGATTAACATAACTGAGAATCGATTTCTATATTTCGACATCCTGTCTCCTGGCGGTAGCTCAGTAGGAGAAATGCTGCTTCTCAAATGAGAGATTGACAGTTCTAATTCCTGTAAGGCTATGTACCTATAACTTAAATTCATAGTTACGTATTTTCGTGATTACATTGTGGTAAAACCTGCATATTGAAGAAGATGCACAACCCTTACAAAAATCCCCAACTCGTGGCGGTCTAATGACGTCAAAAACCAGCCCAAGGCGTTCAAGACTTGCGCGCATATATTGCGCTTGTGTTGGATACATCCAACTCAAGACACCTTGAACGTCAGAGGGCGCACCGCTGTGGCGAATTTGTGGCCTAAGGAACAAGTCCAAAATCTTTACGTTACTTTTGTGTTAAATATACGTGTCACACGTGGCAATCAATACCATCACTAAACGAAGAAGTAAATTTTCTTAAAATTATCATTTTAGTTTCTGAAAATAAGTTTAAATTTTTCAAAACAAGATTTTTATTTAGTGACGGTATTGGTTTTAATGTCCGTTATGTATTTTTTATGACGTTTGTGTATTTTTTGTTGCCTACGACAGAGGGTCTTATTGGTAAGAACTGTAAGTTTGTTATGATAGGTCAGCACAATTTTTGCACGAATAACAAATTATATTGCGCGGCTGAGCAGTGTGGCCACTGTGTTCCCTTTCTCTCATTTCACATTAAAACCACGCGGGAAAGGGAAAGCAATATCGGCCACGCGACCGAGTCGCTGAAGCTATTCATAGTAAACGCAAAATTTTGTTTATTTTGGATTGTGTCACCACGTATATTTGTGTGCTATGTCACATTTTTGATGCTACAAACCTTTTCATATTCCGAACTATTTCACAATGAACGAACTTATTCAAGTAACTTCAAACCCTATTCGGCTATAGACGGGTAATTTTCAGATTAGTGTTCTCTACCTAATTTCGGTGGCAATTTTTATTTGTAAAGTATTTGAGTAAATTATTGTGAAATAATAAATAATACTTATTCATGAAATTATATCGCGTATATTTGTATTTTCAAACAAAACGTTTGTTTGAAAAAACAAATATACGCGATTAAAATCCGGAAAAATTGTTTCATTTCCTATGTGTAACAATCGCGAAAACCTAATTACTCGACATAAAATTATAGTTTATGATAATATTATAGAATATTTTAGTAATGGAAATTGTCAACAAAATGAGGTAGAGAAAAATAACCTGAAAATGTAATTGAGTACGACAAAACTTGATTTGTCGTGGAAACGACCTAACGAAAACGGCGTAATTTTAAATTTTGATGAAATTGTTTATTTACATTGACGTAAAAACTTATTTTCCATAAAATTGTTAGTTGGGAACAAACTGTAACATTTATGTACAGTCAATAGCTTGAAAGGTTTCATTAAATCTTAAGTATTACGTACATTGGGCAGCACAGCTTTACACTTTTGTTCGTATATATTATCGCCTCCAGTGCAACATAACAAGATCCGTCAAAGTGTAAGTCGATTTGCTGCCGTCTGTACAATCCCGTTTGTATTGTCTATTGAAAACTATAGCCCTGTGGAATGTAGAAACTCTATTTTATCTTATATGATTAAGTGGAGATAGAAGATCAAATTAGTTTCCACGTCGATCAGGTTTATCCAATTAGCGCATCCTGGGGTGGCGGCGGCGCCGCCGGACGCCCAAATGTATTTAGCCTTAAGGCTCTTGCCGAGTTCTGTACGTTTGTAGCTGTTGTAGAGAGAGATAGGTATATATTATTATTTGTAAGCTTACACGGTAAATTCAGTTTCCATATTTAAGATCACTCTTATAATTCAGCGCGTTGCACCAGGGATTGGCTTTCAAATATTAATTACAAAGTATACTATGTTCGCATTCATTCCCAATGTCATATTATATATTTAAAAATAAATAATTAAATTACGATGATAACTGATGACAGTAAAATGTAACTACGTATTGTTTAATTTTATGAACATAGGTGTATACTATGAACTTTATAGTCGCAACGGGTTCGACTTCTAAATAGGTCCTAACGATAATCAATTTCGACGTAAAACTTTTATAAATTAATACTGGTCTGGCAGTACATGTATTTATCTAGTTTGTTACCAGACAATTGATGTGATTGTTGTGGCACATTTCAATTTATTATTTCTTGGGCTATGGCTATCAGTAAGCAAATTTAGACTCTGTCGATTGGTAATTGTTTGTTAATATAATAAATATGAAAAGGATAGGATCACGGCACATACAGAATTACCCCACACCCGGCGCAAAAGAAACATATGACTTATATAGCATATGATAATTTTCTTAATATTAAGTCTAGAAATGCCATACATATATGTAAAAACTATAGATTTCGTTTTCGTTATCAGCGGCTAAAATGTTGTTTTATTTTTACTCATGCGAAATAGGGTTAGGTGATATATTTTCATGTACAAACAAAAACTTTATCACAGTTTTTGGTCTCTATAGATAAGGAAGTATGGAGTGACCCGCAATGTAGAAATAAAATAGCAAAATGGAAAAACAAAAAAACATTAGAAATCAAATTCTTTTCATTTGAAGACTTAGGATGCCTGTCTAAGTACCTACCTAAAATTAGCAAAAGAAAAATTGACCTAGATTTGGCTGTATGGTTTTAATTAAACATGTGTTTGCATCAACACCAGCGCGCACCAGCGCTCACATCAATACGCGCCACGACGCCGGCTATATCGCCACTGAGTAGCCGCGCATCAGAGTGCAGTAAAGTGTATAACGACAGCGCCACCGCGACGATGGTGGCGCTACCGTCGCTGCTATGTAAACGCACTAAACTACCTACAAGTTAAGAGACCAAAAAATGTACAGTAGTAGACTAATTTGAAAATAAATTTATGACTTCTGTTCCTGACTACTGTTTTATTACTTCCAAGCAAGCCACTACTAAACATTTGCTTTTTCCTTATCGGAAAGAATTTAAAAAATTATATTTTTTCTTTTATTTAGGTTCATCCTTTATCAATAAGTGTGAGTGAAACAGAGCTTAGAACTTTCTATGGGTTTGGTCAAATAGAATTATGTAAATAAAAACAAAATAGCAATTATATAGGTATGTTTTGCGCCAGGCTTGGGGCAAGATAGACCCTTTTTTCTTTTTATTGGAGTGTCCGTCATTTTGCATTACACCCTGTTATTATATGTAGCTATTTATCCTAGGCCATTTGTGTTTGCAAATTCTTCACACAATCTGTTCGCTAGAGAAACTCGCACCCGAGGTGTAATAAGGTCACAACTGCAAAATCACAATTTTTAAGGAGAAAGTTTAAAGATTCTACAATAGAAATTAATTGTTAACTTTTTTATACTTAACTAGTAGAGTTATATAAATGTCACATATACATTGTTTGTTTTATGTAGTTGTATTATTTTTATGACTTTCAACTGATAAGAACACTTTTGGTGTACATGTGGCTTTATTATACAATTGGATTGATTATAAAGCTAGTACTTTGTAACAATAAACATATTTCATGTTCTTATAAACAATTATATTTTCTAGGTGAAGAAAATGAACGAGCGCGTATCCAAATGTAGAGAAGAAGTTTCCAAGAGCAGGGAAAAGTATCAAGCCGCGCTGGCGGAAATCACGGCGTACAACCCGCGGTATATCGAAGACATGGAAGCGGTCTTCGAGAAATGTCAGCAAATGGAAGCTCAGAGGCTCACCTTTTTCAAGGACGTGCTCTTCAGTTTCCATAAGCGTCTTAACATCAGTCAAGAACCTTCGTAAGTATATTTATTATTCTTGCAGCAATACTTGTAATGTCGTATATGTTATTAAACTATATTACTTCATCAAATTACGAGTTTCCTCCCGAGTAGCTCTTCATGTCTATCTTATTCGAGTTTTTTAAAACAAAGTTGATTATATCTCGAAATAAAAAAATTCCCACCTAAGTACCAATGTCTTTTTTGCAAGTCGGTTAAAATGTAGTTATTACTACGAATATCTACCGTGTGTCTCACAAACTTACGTTTGAAAATAAATTCTATTTTTATTCTATTTTCTTTTAAGTAATCTATAATTGTTTGTTTTAGTGAGATCATGTTATCTCTTGACAGTCTTAATATGATGGTCATTTTCAGGTTAGTATTCTCTAACTAATTTCGGAAGCAATTTTTATTATTTAAATATTCTACAATATTATCATAAAGTATTATTTAATATTGCAGTGTAGTATCCTGAATTATTATGTAATATTTCACTATACATTAGACTACTTAAATAATAAAAATTGCCACCGAAATCAGGTGAAGAACCCTAGCCTGAAAATGACTCATTAAACAAATTAATCTATGCCATTACAAGTAAACGGCTAGAATACTTATTGAAATTTACGTTTAATTATCGCAATAATATTTTTTCTATAAATATACAATTGCAGATTACCACAAATATACGAAGAATTCTATCATACGATAAACAACTCAGACCACCAAAAAGATTTGAAATGGTGGGCCAACAACCACGGAACCAAAATGGCGATGGCGTGGCCACAATTCGAGGTATGTTCGCCACGCTTCTCTGCATTCGCTGCAACAATTCGCCACTTAATGGTTCTCTTTTTGAAATCTCGCACACGAACATTATAATATAAATTCCTATTGGACATTTGATAAGTTGTATCTCATCAGTGGTGAAACGTCCGCATAACACGTTTCCCATCGGTTTGCCTACAAATTTAATCTCGTAGAAGGAAGAGAACGGAAATATCTCACATTTGCTCTGTACCTTCTACATTTGGCTTACCTTCTTCGAACGTCCACCCTTCGCCACTCGATCTACACAATACTATGTGCCAGGTTTCAAATAGCGAATGTCTAAATTTATTAAATCTATTGCATCATTTTAACTTTTGAATGCTTTTTTGTATCGTAAAAGTGAAGTAGGTCGCCATTCTATAGAAGCATTTACAGTCAGCATGAGTTAAATTTCCGTGGCTGTCTTTTTCTTAGTCACCATTATTATCGTAGTTAGTATTCGACCAGAATATCATGAACAAATCATCAACTCTTTACTCCTTCAAAAACCTGAAGTTTTGTGAACGCCATTTATTGATTGTTGCGAGAACAAAAATTAGGAAGACAACCTTGAACACCACTGTATACGCAATTCAATGTGAACAAAACAAACACTAGCTGCATAGTATAAATAAGAACTCCATACAAATGGCAGCGGGTAGCTTGTATGTGTGCGCGTGCCGTGTACGGATGCAAACATTCGCATAATCTCGCGATGCACTCAAGTGTAAAGCGCGGGTCGCACGTGCTTTTCATTGGAGAGTTGAAGCGTTCGCTTGATGTCTAAAATATTTTTAAAAGTGAGTAATTTTCAGGTTACTTGTCTCTGCCTAATGCCGGTGGCAATTTTTGTTATTTAAGTATTCGAGTATAATAATATTATCGTGAAATATTAATTAATCTTTCAAGATACCACACTCTAATATTAAATAATACTTTATGATAGTATTCTAGAATATTTAAATTAAAACAATTGCCACCGAAATTAGGTATCGAGAGAAATTATATGAAAATTACTCAAACATTTTTCTGCGTCAAATTTATCATTTTTTGATTTATATAAATGTATCATTGTGTATAATATGTAAACTCGCATCTTTTTCTATTTTGTGATCATACCCCTTCCCATAATCGAAATATCAATATTTGACTTTTTTTCAATATAGAACGTGATTACTGTGATGAATACCTATTTAAATTACGTCTTGCAATCTGTAGGTAGGTACATCTAAAATAACAATGTGACAACCCCTACGCCCCGAGTGACATGCAATTCTTGTCTTGTTATACTATGCTAGCTGTTCTTTTTACATTCTCTGAAAAATATGAGCTAGGGAGACTGAAAACGTTTCTTTCGTAATAAAGTTACCGCGTTGCTGTACTTACTCACCAACGTACGCAAATCCACACGAGTGTACTTCATAACAACTCGAGTTAATTTGCTTAAACCAGCAAAGGGATTGGAGAATCTTTTTGCTTCTCTCCGTTACTCCGCCTTGAACTCTATTGGCGATAAATTTTCATTTTTATGCATTTACCACCAATAGAAAGAGATTGGCGACAGAGGAACAGAGAGGAACGAAGATATTCATTCACCTTAACTCGCACTGCCTACGATGATCGTACTATATACATTTTTCATGATATTCTAGTCAACATATTCAGGCCTCTTCTCGCAGTTTTTAAGACTTATTTATATATAATTGAGACAAAGGTGCATGATTGCTAGGTTTCGTAACGCAGTTAGAACTGCATATAAAGTAGATGTGACTAATGGACATCTTTGCTCGATTACTCTTCCATTGCTTTATAGTTAGTCGGTATAGTTATCTATTATTTAGTCCGGGACAGAAAATCTTCAAGTCATCTTTTTCCTATTTGTGTTTATCGGTTTTTTTTATTTTGCTGTGACATCAGTCACATGTTTTATCAAAGAAAATCTTTACTTTAATCATGAAGGAAACAAAAATAGAATTTCCGTAAAAAAAAAGAGTTTTTGTCGTTTAGTGTTATCTAGTAGTTACTGTTTTCTAAAATTGCAACAAATGAGAATCGAGTAAAACGCAAGATTAAAAAAGTATTATATAACCCTGCAAAAGGAGGATCCAGGGTCGGAGAACCCCGAGCCCGTAAGTTTCAAATACGTCCCTACTGCTGCGTCAGCGGTGCTCACGCGGTGGGTCGAAACGGCCCGTGCGGCTCGCGCATCAACCGGCCCGCTATTGGCCCCAATGTGGGCGCACACCGCGCGCGCCCTCAGGCTCTCCCTACCCGCCTTCTGCTTCGGAGCGGATGAGAGGAGGTCCAGCAAAGTGGCGCCATCTATCACCGTTAGCAACTACGGCAGTAGCCGTTGCAACAGCAGCTCCTTCATGGTACGCTGTCACGGTGTAGGACGAGTCACGGGTTGGCTGGGGAACTACAAAAGAGGTGTAAAGGTGTGGCTTTATTTTGGCCTAATTCTCTGATTTTATTATTATTGTCGCATAGTTTTTGACACTATATGTCCGTCGCATTCGCAATGTCGATATTGCCTTGTGTAGGAGTATCTCAAAAATACACTATTCGTCTTTATAAGGGAATTAGACCAATCACCTTCCTATTGCAACAGCACTGGTGCCTGCCTTATTGTAATTTTTACGTTATCAGTCTTTTCGCGATAATGTTGTCCGTTGCTTGTTAATTGCTAAGTAGTGAGTTCATGACTTAGGGTCAATTCGCATTTATCACCACACAACAGCATTGCGGTTATATCAAAACGTTTTTTGTATGGAACTTGTTCTCACTTCCTCCCTCAAAGTTAATATACAAACAAGTAACTGAGCGCACTGCTGAAATGATAAATGTGAATTAATCCATACACGCTCACAATTGATGACCAAGTAAAAAAAACCAAATTAATTTTTAAAACCGAAATTACAATAACGCAAAAAGTCATACCTCTCCCTCAAAGCACCTCCCAGCTGTCGCTACAAACCTGTTGGTTAAAGGTCAGCAAAAAAGAGCCCACCGATATTTTACATCAAATGATGTGAGCAGCACATGGGTTTCACGTGACGGTACACCGTGATGGTACAAATCATTAGAGAACACTGTCACTTGCACTGATTTTGCAGTCTCATTTTTAACTGGACGTTTATTATAAAAGTAAGTAGGGATCAGATTGAGCCGCACAGCGCCCATGCTAAAGTTGTGTTTACTTGGCACTCTACTCCCACATTGCGCTTTAAAAGCACTCTTCTAGAATGGGTGCACCAGTGGAGTTCGCCCTAACCTAAGTTGGATATTGGCGTGCACACTAGCGCCACAAATAAACGACAGCAACGAGCATTGGCTGCCAAATTTATGTTTACTCTAAGTAAGATCATTGCTTTAGGCGCTGAAATCCTTTGTATGTACGGAGCCAAAATATAGCATTTTTTTACGTCGGTGTAGTTATGGGTTTCGCTAACTTCAAAGTAACTCTGAAGACTAGACCTCGAATTATTATTTTTTAAATAAAATATTTTTTATAAAAGAAAAAATGGATTAATGATATTTCACGATTCCACGGCCCGTTTTAACTCGTGTCTAAATATTTATGTTTTCTACTATAATATTATAGAATCTATATAATGTAATCTATATAATATAATATAAATAATAGAAGCTCGATATATAAATATCGAGCTTCTTGGTTACCTGGCTGTTACAAAAGAGTATACAGTGTTTTTATATTGCCCTAATATTGGTCCCTATCTACCGACCCGAGATAGGGTTTTCCGGAGAGGCTACGGGCTCGACGGCGGGCGTCCGCACCAAGCCCTCCGCCAATGCTACTTGGCATCTCCTGCACTAGCCGGGAGAGCTAGTAGAGGATGAGCTAGCCATCTTGCGATCAATTTCGGGAATTTGGAAACTGGAGAGATGCCGTTCATTTGTCGTCGAGAAGTGAGCGTACCTTACAGCTCTGCCATCAATGAGGAGATTTGGTAGTCGACTTAGAGTCGGCTGTTCAGTGGTGGCAACCGTTAGTTGTACGAAGCGCGACAGAAAGTGAGCGTGCCTACCCATCTGGAAAATAGAGAGGGTGCTGTACGTGCACCAGGAGCGGCTCATCGAAGGTACCAGTCTTACAGAGCACCGGATGAAGTCCGTTCCAACGTGCTGATCCGGGGTTAGGACCTGATTTAGATGGTCCCTGTGCGGGTTTCCTCGCACAGGTAGGGAGTAGTCACTATAATCAAAACTAATGTAGAATGATATGGAGCTGCCCTAATATTGGTACCATATTAAAAAGTAACGTAATTCATATCGAGTTCTTAGATTTATTTATTTTATTTATTTATTTAGTTCATACAATTACACAGTATTACAGTATATTACTAAGGCACTGTGAAATTCAATAAATCATATAATAATAACATCACAACACAGAAGACTAGGTTAGGTTAGGTTAGGTTTTCGCGATTGTTACACATAGGAAATGAAACTATTTTTCCGGATTTAAATCGCGTATATTTGTTTTTTCAAACAAAACAAACAAGGGTTTGTTTGAAAAAACAAATATACGCGATTTAAATCCGGAAAAATAGTTTCATTTCCTAACGTAATTCAATTTAGTTTGAAATTTATTATGAGCTTTTCGGTGAAGGAAAACTTCGTGATGAAACGTGAGCATCGAAGATGGTTCACAACTCACGGAAAAACTGAAGTCACCAATCCACATTGGGCCACTGTGGTGGACTATGGCCTAACATTAACCTAACACTCGCCTGAGTATAAACGGGTTGATGGTGATGATAATTAAAAAATAATAAACTCAAATTTGTACATAAGTACACAAAATCTTTTGCATGAAAATAAGACCAACGTGATATTTTATGTCGTGAAATTGATGAAGATTGAATGTCCTGTCAAATGTTGAAACGAGACTGCAAAACACGATCACCTCTCATCCTCTCACGAATGCGAATTAGGAGTTAGGAGCAATTAGTGGAGTAAGCACTCAATAGCTGATTATGTCATGGCGTCTTTGGTCGACATTTTTAGATGTTTTGGGAAAGGACATTTTGAGAAAATATTTCTTTAGGATTTTTTTTTCCGGAAATGTAACTAGTTATTCGGAAATTTTCGGATCCTGTTTCTGGTACCGTAATAAAATGCGAAAACCTAAAAAAATTCATTATAAGAGATTGTCATTTTGAGAAAATATATTTATAAGATGTTATAATTTAAAGAAACAGTCATTTAGACAATGTACCTACGTTTTTTGTCGTGATCATTGTAAGAAATGGTCTTATTGAGAATTAGTCATAAGAAATACCTTTATTCGCCAAATGAAATTCAAGAAAGTGTAAAGCATAATTAAAATATTTTACTTTAATTATAGGATTTGGGCTTTTAGAATGAATCTTTTTGATTAATGGAGCGAAGTTGACTATTGTTATGTAACAAACAATTGGCGCAAGGTTACCGACATCAGTTTACAATAACACTAACAAACAATTGCAAATTAATTCAAATTAACATGAAGTTACTTACTAAAATGTTAGTGAGCTACGCTCTGTAAAAAATATGATTCAATTTATATATTCAATTTATAGTACTGCGAGTAGTGGTATTGTTTTGCCTATGATACAACCTTTTCGCAAAATGTCTAATCGCATGGTATTTTTTTCTCTCATTTTTTCTCAACTTTTTTGTTCTCAATGAATCACCATGCAGCGCCACTACGCAATTTTGCTTTATTTTACCCCATTAATTATCACAGGCTTTGAATGGTTGTGATGATTTTTGTCTCCTAATTTTTTAATTTTTTTTACTATGAGTTCGCCTTCAAGCTCACACCGAGACGTTGGGATATAAGAAAATAAAAAAAACATATTTCAAATATATAACGGTTAAAAAAATCAAATAAAGTTGTTGAAAGGTACGACAGCAAAACTCTGACTCACAAAAAAACATGCATAATCCATCTGGAACCTTAAATTGCAACTTAGAGAAAACGCTAAATTTGAATTTCGGTAATATTACATAATCGAAAATTGCAAATTGCAGCTTAGAGAAACGCTAAATTCGAAATTTATTACTTTTGCAAATCAAAATTTGCAAATTGCAACTTATAGAAAACGCTAAATTCGAATTTTAGTAATTTTATAAATCAAAAATTGCAATTCGAAATTTCAGCTCGAATTCATTACAATTTAATTTAATACTTAAAAAATGTAAACTAAATTACATTTCAAAATTCTAATTTATAAATCCCAACGTATCGGCTTTGGGCTGACAATGTGCGTGGGTGCACAGGAGTACACGGAGGAGTTCCGAGACATCGCCAAGGGCAAGTCAAAGGAGAGCCTGCCCACCGGCCCCATCACGCTGCTCAACCAACGTCCTGTCTCGGAAGACGTACGTTACTTTTCTTTCTGGGATTTGGTAGTTCTATCTGAGGTCACTTTTTGGTACTTGGTGGGCATATTACATACCACACGGAAAAATATAAGGTAATAAATAGCTCCGGACTCTCAGTCAAACACAAGTCTTAAAACCTAATAGACCTGTACTGGATCGTCCAAATTCCACACCATCAGTAATCTATGCGATGTAAGTGTCCTATCACGACCAGTTTCAAAAGATGCGCCGATAAAGTATGAATTTGAGTCTCATCTATATGGTCTTAGCGTTAATTCAAGTATGTGTACAAGTTCGTCTATAAGTCTATATGTTACACCTAAGATATTTCGTAAGTTGCTACTAAAAATCAACAATGGAGTGTTGGGATCGCGGTTACTAATCGGACCATATCATAGCTACTGTAAGTATAAGAACTGACAACTTTCTTACACTACGAACAAGAATACATGAAATGGACTTTATGCTGTGATAATTTGCTTCTAAAACATTCGACATAGAGGTAACTCAAGATTCAAATACGTGTTTTTAGTAAATAAGAACACAAAATCACTATGAACCCCGAAACACAATGCAACAGAAATAAATATACACCTGTTTTGCATTAAGACGGGACTAAACACATTTGTACTTTTCAGAACTATATCTTGTAATGGAAATATTCCCAAGCAAGAAAAGGAGACTTGTCTGGCCCCTTTTTATCTAAGTTTTATATTTTAAGGCGAATGCTTTCGACGTACAAACTGTGCTTAGGCCCTGCAGGGATTCAAATGAGAATGAATGAACTACAACTATATTATTATGTGCTTTAGTTGCCAGCATGATATCGGGAATTAGAATTTTAAATGTAGAATCTTCTAGAAAGGGCTGGGTCATTCTCATTTCGATTCTTAGAATAATTTGTGCTTCAAATGTATTTCCTTTTTATATATTTTTTTAAATATCGATGTCGCATGATTGAATGTTGCTTATCAATGCGCATATTCGCATGTCTATTAACTTATTAACAAATACAATAATATATTTTAATTATTTTTATGTATTTCCCAATATTTAAGTACGAATTTTGTAAACCTAAATATGAATATTGATATATTTAGAGAGTAACTTATTGCGTTTGTGCAAATGACATCATAAGTGTCGGAACATTGAGTCGCGTACATTATATTCATGACAAAATATTGTTCCATTTTTATATTGATTTCTTAACCATCAAAAACTGAACCTTTGTGAAATCAAACGAAAACAAGATACGATGACAACTTTGCACAGACACTCTTGTAATAACATCATTCTATTATTCCAATCTATTCTCACGTATTCGTAACACAAATTGTAAATTGCAAATGGCAGGAGCTGCCTCCGATATCGAACAACAAGGCGAACAAGACGAATAATCACGCGGAACCGCCGCCGCCGGTCCCGGCCAACAACGCCAACAATACGAACGCCATTGACAAGAAAAACATTAGCGCACCTATTGCCGTTACGTAAGTATTCAGATACTGGCTGAAAAATCACACTAAGCGTGTTTACGCACTACATCCGAATCGTATTCGTTCGGAATCCGAGACTATACTAATCTAGATATCGCCACTTTATAGTTTATTGGATTTAGACTAGACTGTAATGCCTATGTACCTGGTTCAAATATTCTCTAGTAACTGAGGATGTTACAACCACATAAACTGCCTTGTTTCCACGTTAAAATTGTTTCGAACTCCAACGGTGTCCTATCGTTTGCTTGTTTGCATTGAAGTGAAAGGACCGAGTACCACTGCTCGATTACAGCGCGACCGATAAAGAGTCCGACTCCCATTGTGATATATTTTAATTAACGTAAATTTGTCAACGAATCCCAGCACCTCCACCAAATCTTGTCGCCACTTTGTAGTTTATTGGATTTAGACTAGACTGTAATACCTATGTACCTGGTTCAAATATTCTCAATGTAGATATTGAGGGACGACAAAAGATACTTAATTTATAGGTATACATATAAGCGGGTAGAAAGACACTGAGCCATGGTGTGCTATGACAAATAACCGTAGAGGTGTGCCTCATATGTCGCGTACAAACCTCCAGCACATCTCACGTATATGGGGCGGGACACATTGATAGGTGCCCCGAGTGTCCACTCCAGCTTTAGTCCAACCTCTGCCCAACAGGTTTCAAGCTTCGATAGCTATTAATCGCGGCGCAAGCGTACATGCCAGCTACTACCGACCCGATTGATGCCAACGACACCCACAGTCATAAGCGTCAATGAGGCTAGTCTACTGCGGGTCGAGTCAGCACGTGGCAAATTAATAGTCATAGAACATCTTTCGTAACAATATTAAACTCGACAATTAACTTAGTTGTGTGTCTTTCCACCGTGTCTATGCATGTCGTAATGTTAAACGGTACATAGAGGAACTTACCAGTTGTTTGTCTCTTAGGGTACATTCACTTACACAGCCATATCTTTAGTTTTAAAAAGGCAAAGCAGTGTTACCACAATACAAAAATGGGTAAAGTTCGTTTACTCACCAAATGACTGATTATCGCGTGATTCGCGACACTAGAAAACTCACGGACACACTTCGGATGTCGCTTGTACTAAGTCCGTTTGAATCCGAGAAAATACGAATATCACTTGTACACCTATACATAAAATGACACTTCAGATACCTGCGACATTTCGGATCGTCATTTCTCGGATTCGGAACTGACACGAATCGAACGTAGGGGAGAGAGGCGAATATCGATATGAAAATCATATTATTAGCATTAATCAGTATTTTTTTCTTATAATTAAACTTTGATTATAATCTTACAAAATTACCATAATCTTTTATCTATAATCAACAAATAAAATTTTTTAAAGAAAATCGAAAGTATTTCTGCCCGTAATTACCCGGTGCATGTCGGATAAATGCGGACAGTGATCGTATGACAATATATAAGCTATTAATTGATACCACTTTCATCTTCCACAATCTTGGCCCAAGATTGTATGAAAGCGTGTCGGTCTCCTTTAGATTAATCTATTTAAAGCCTTAATTGGGGTTATTATAGACGTCTGGATTTGCCCCATGTCCCAAGTCTGTAATTGCCCCAATCGTAATTTATTTAATTAGATAATATTTCTGATGTTATGCTGGCACTTACGATTTTCATATTCTTACAGTTTCGAGGACGTATCTTATAAATATTTATAACAAACGTAACATTTGAATAATTGTCACATAACAGTGTGCACATGGCACTGAAACTAAAGTAAAATTACAACAAAACACATGAGAAAAGTCTTTGATACTTACTTTGAAACGCGTGTGAGGCCTCTCTCCTTGACAACTTTCTACACACTAACGATGGTGGATGTGATCGAAAGATCGCGATAGCGGGGCGCGGGGGAACTAGACTTCTAGAAACGATAAACCTAGATGATAGTGAAATGAATACTAGCACCGTGTTCATACCTTACACGTGTCTGTTATATACGCGAGCTGTAAAAGAAGTGTAAAATTAGCCCTTTGCTAATCACACACTCTGCGGTATAGATTTTAAGATTTTCGTGGTTATTCACTAAAAGATGATCACTAGTAAGGCTCAATTTATATTGTGGTGGAACGGAATGGAAGCAAATATTTGTAACGATTACGCGCGAGAATACTCGCGCATTCCGCGGAAGATTTTGGCTCGTATCTAGTTTGTACGTTACACAATTGACCATAAAGTTCTTTATGCTATAAACTCAATATCGTTACAAAAATTCGCTTCCATTCCGTTCTGCTGCAATATAAATCGAGGCTTATTGGTTTCATACCAGATTGGCAGATGACAACTTTAAACACAGTTATAATTGTCTGTCTACTCTCTTTCGCTGTCGACGATTATATTCACATGGTCAGATGATGAAGGAACGTGAACCGTTCTGAAAAAAACTTGTAATCAGTAATAAATACACGATACAGTTTGTCTGGGAGTACGAGTCAACCATAAGCTTTAGCGTGTTTGACATATCTGATTTCCGATTGCACCCGGGCAATTTACGCAGTTAGAACACATCGGCCTGCTGCCCAGTCAACCAGTTGAGATGCACCTGCACCGGCCATCATCTTCTGTATATAATTTCCTGCAATATGCTACATATGCCCTTCGTTTGTGCTGCATAATCGACGGCAAGTCCACCAGTTTCCTCAGCTTTCAGAGATTTTGAATCGGTTTAAAAACAGTTATTTTTTAAAAAAGCCGCGCACTCGTAAACTTCGTCACTATATCCATTTCCTACCCTACCTTATTCCATGTTCCCTTCCAGTATCGAGCGCTTGGAGATCTACGCGTGCGCGCCGCCGCAATGTGCTAGTGCTCAGTCGTGTACCCCGCGCATGTTCCGAGTTGCGCTCAAACCCGACGTCGAAAATAACTCAAGATACACTATTACTGACATGACTGAACATATATCTCTTACGTTAGTTCATCATCCACTTTTTAAACACAGATTTATTCAGGAAATGGAGCAAAGGAATGAGATTCATAATATTACTAGAGCTCGGAAGGACGTTCTAAATGCTGGGCGCTTTCCTCTTTGTATGTCTATCACTAGCTAAGAGTCGAAGAAAGCCTTAGAAATCCAATTTTCAACTTAGTAGTAGACATTGAATGGAAAATGTTTTGAGATGCAGCATTTTAATTCGGCTTACTTCCATCAAATATCCATACTTGCTATGCTTTGTGCTGCCAGTGATGTCTATTTCAGTCAAATTGTTAGATAGATTTTTGTAGAAAGAAACTTTGGGAGAATGCCTGTCGGTCCTAAGGAACCGAGGTACATATTAATAAATAATCTTTTCACCACCTTTTTTTTTTTTGGAGGGCGGACGTGGCTTATAAGAGCCATATAATAATATTCATAAGATTAGATATAAATCGAAGCACATAGTATTAACATCCCACACATTATTTGTTAGATTTATGTGGAAAGTTGCTACTGTCCAGTTTATAATTGTTTACTTTAAAATTCTGGATGAGTTGATGTTATTAAAGTGTGAAACGAAGAGAACGGGAGCGGGTCGGGAGCGTATTTATATGGACGTCAACACACAACAAGCGGGCACGGGACCCGACCTGCGCCCGTCTCGCGAGTCGCACCCGCTGTCAGTGTGTTTCACTCTTGATTGCAGTAGCTAATATATATTATAGCTATATTTTATTGTAGGTTATTTCTTCCGAGACGTAAATTGTTTAGTCATATTATTATGAATAGCTCTAAACATGTAATTTTACAACACGATTTAACATAATAATTATTATAAAAATTTCAGCAATGGTACGGCACCGGCACCGAAATCGAACAAGACGTCTCCAGCCAAGGACCCCGCGAAGCCGCAGCCACAGGAAAATCCCTTCGAGGAAGACGAGTGGGACGAAGAGTCGGGTGGACCACTCACCGACACAGGGGAGCCAGGAGTGCCTGTCAGAGCTCTGTACGACTACACGGGCGCCGAAAGCGACGAACTGTCTTTCAGACAAGGTACTTTTCTGCGTTCTGTTTTCAGCGACAATCAGTTGACGATCACTTTGGTTAGCTGATACTCAGGGTCATTTAATTAATGACATACAAGGTTAACTAGTCCACTGAATTGCAGGGAAGGTAGCCATTGCAATATGACTCTTGTGAACTAGTTCATAACTAAAACCCCACGAGTCCGTTTTCACGTCCTGTTTTTAAGCGATTACAAAACAGGAGGACGTTCTCATTCAACTGTAATTTTTATGTATGTATGCAATTACCCCAACGTTTATGAACCGATTTCGATAATTCTTTTTTTGTTAGAAAGGAGGTACCTCAATGAAGAAGTTTACTGAATTTAACCCATTTTCCGTTAACCGATTTCTATAAAACTTAGGTAAGATATAATTACACAAACTTTTATAATTCTAAACTTTTATAAATATAAAAAAGTTATAATTATTTCACACATTGGTATAGTATCACTGATGTGAGATGATGAAAATAAAGTTGTTGTTTATGATGTTAGTACTATATAGCTCTTCAAGGTTGTTAGTATTTTACAAATCATCCTGTATATAGTAGATACCAATGGCGAAGGATCCATATAACAAGGCTCCCATCGACTTGTCTAATTTATTTTTCATCTTGGGCCTTTTCTTCAAACATCCACCAATCGCCATTTTAAGTACACTAGTTGAATATCTTCCTCTAATACATGGTAATAGTGATTGGCTGGTTGATATTTATTTTCTTACTCATTCAATTCCAGGTGACTTATTCGAAAAACTAGAAGACGAGGACGAGCAAGGGTGGTGTAAAGGCCGCAAGGATGGCCGCGTCGGCCTCTACCCCGCGAACTACGTCGAACCCGTGGGTCACTAGCCCCTACAAATCCGTATACATACCATACATCTAAAGGCTGACAAGTTAAATTATACCCACGCCATACTGTGGATTTTCAAAGAACTAATTTCTTCTATTGACACTACTAACTTTGGTGTCATTAGCCGACACTAGCGCCACCTTATAAAGGGCAATTAGTAACTTGTCAATCTTTAAATATTTGCGTCGAGTCCTTTTCAATGTGGGTTATGTACGATTTTTTTAACTTGGAGAAATGTTATAATAGCTTGGCCAAGGTTCATCGCCAACGCGTTGTAATCATGTAGATACCTTTTTATACATAGGCATTTGATTTTCAAAGTAAAGTGCTTGTTTGAATCTTATTTAGGGAAAAAATTCAATTGTTACTTTGAAATTTTATAAACTGCATCGTAAGAGCACTGCGTGCGACTTGGGCATAAAAATTTAAAAAGAATCTTGTTGTGCACAATTTTTAATACATTTTTTACCATGCCATAGTGGACCATAATAACATGTATACAAACTGACAAAATTTCACATAAAATTTGCACGTATTTGTGTATGATGACATAACTTTGAATTTCAGTTTCGATAATTTTTAGTTTATACAAGTCTGTCAAAGTGCGTTATTGTACTCCAAATTAGTTAACGAATCCAAGGACAAAACTAATCGAAAATATGTGGCGTAATCTCGCTAGCGTATTTACGCTCGATTGTGGCAGGCTAAAATACATTTCAAGCGCTATACTTGGGCGACTGAAGAGAACTCTGCGTGAATTCGTCTCTATCTGAGCCATGTAAATAGTCGTACATTGAAAGACGCTCTATCGACCATAAAAATAACACTATGTAAAGGATTCCATCGTGTAATAATGATAACACTGCAACTTGATAATTGTAGGATTCGACCAATCACGGCCCGCCATCTTCCTAAAGTGTGAAACAAACAGCGGGTGTGGGTCGGTAGCGCGGCCGATCTAATTCCGTGTATTTTACACGGTAGTATACCCGACCCGACCCGCGCTCGACTCACGCCCGCTTTCTGAGGGTTTAAGTGCGGTTACATACGGTGACTTTTACCAGCCCATCTGCAACGATTGAGTCGCGGTGCAGTAGCGATGTGGTGGCTAATCATGTAACTTTACGCACACGCGCGACTTAAGCAGGGACACAATCGCGATGCAAACGCGATGCATTGTTTTAATAATTCAACTTAAGCGACTGCGTCGATGCAATCGCGCGTTTGCATCTATGCAACCGCCTGTCAATCGCAAAAGTAACTGCTCTAAAATCTTATTATTGACACAAAGGTCGAACACATTCCTTCTATCCGGCTGGATCAGCGCCTGTTTGGCAGACCGGGGTTAACCACTCTCCTAACTGAGCTATAGAATGAATCTACAGACCGCTCGAATTGCTCTATGTGCTTGTTGCCGATCTTTGTTATTGGGTAAACAGCTTTTTTGCCGCCATCTATGAGAAGTCTATGAACAGCTACCAGCGGCTGACAAGAGATGTCGCTTTATGAATTGCTCTATTTTTCATTTATCCGTTTATTTTGTAATATTGATCCGGCTGGATTCATTTTGAAGGAATTTTTCCTCTTGTTCGATCTATGTATCAATAAGAACACCAAACTAGTGAAGTATTTTCACAAAAGGAAAAATATATGAATATCACTGTAGTAAAAATGTCATGGTATTCAATGAAATAAAAATGCTAAAATCTCCCAAAAACAATGCAATTTAGTCTGATTTACTACTATATTTGCTCCTAGTTTTACCTCCCAGTATCTTTCCAAGATTTAAATATGGCGGGCACCTATGACACCAAATAGAGTATAAATACCACTCACCATGCGCGGATTCCATCTGAAGTTACAAGCTGTTTACTCAGTATACCGATGAAACTTATACAGTTATGTATATACTTTGCTTGAGCAAGTTTACCCGCAGTGAAATTCAACCGTGTAGTCTGGCCTTTACTATGGAAACCGCGTCATTTGGTGTCGATAGCCAATTACGTAATTGGTTTTCGATTTGTGGAAATATCTGTCTAGTGTAAACATGTATAAAGAAATTGAGTAATAATAACGTCAGATTAATGGTAATTATTTCTAAGCCAATATACAGGTGTTGAAACATTTTATTTTCAATGTTATAAATGTACAGATTAAAACAAAAAGTTTGCTAGGGATTTTTGTTTAATTTATAACGAAAATATACCCCATTATAAACGTCCACTGTTATTGTACGTACCACACAGTACTATAATAAAATAATATATTTTTTGTTTTCATTTGTACGTTACGCCGTTTGCATAGCGTCCTAATTGAAGGGGTAAGTGGACAAACGTGTTAACTAACAAAAAATTCAA